CTTGGACTGACAATGTAAGGTTTGAGACTTACAATATTCATTATAAGATATTGGCTAAGAAACTCATACCTAGTCAGTTAGTTAAGACCTATGTCAAGGAACTGATTGAGTTACTCAATTGGATGGATATCTTAGGGAGACCGTTTGATGATGACTCTGCTCATGACACTATTTTGTTTTCACTCCATGCTAGATTTGATCTCGTCAAGCTAATTCATGATGATGAAGGCTCTACAGAGGAGTACTTGAATAAAGAAGGAAGTTAGTGCTTCTATTACGGTAGGTGGTCTTACCACTTACCAGGATGTCCCCACAATATGCCGTTGAAAACGGAAGGTAAGGAGTTACCTAATTTTTATATTGTAGAAATTAACCTTCCTCTTCCACATGGGTATTTGATACCGGTTGTGGTGCTCACATTGTTAATGACATGTAGGGCTTAAGAGTGAGTAAAAGGCTAGCAAAGGGAGAGATGATGAATGTTACTGCACTTGCTATTTGAAGTTATGAACTCAAGCTCCCATCTGGACTCGTTTTGGTTCTTAATAATTGTTATTATGTTCCTGCAATTACTAAAAACATTGTTTCAGTTCCTGTTTTAGATACTGAAGGTTTTTCTTTTGAAATTAAAAACAAATGTTGTTTTATTTCAAGGAATAATATGTTATATGCTAGCGCAAAATTGGTTAATGGTTTATATGTGTTAGATTATACAACCCATGTCTATAACATAGATCACAAAGAGCAACGAACAGATGGTTAAAACCCAACTTACCTATGGCATTGTAGGTTAGGTCATATTAACTAGTCGCGCATCTAGAAATTACAAAAGGATGGACTCCTTTCATCATTTGATTATGAATCATTAGAAAATTTTGAGTCATGCTTGTTAGGTAAAATGACCAAGTCACCTTTTACAAGAATAGGTGAAAGAGCTAGTGACCTTTTGTGGACTCGTACTTAAAGCTAGAGGTGGGTTTAGTTACTTCATTACTTTTACTGATGATTTAAGTAGATTTGGTTATATCTATTTAATTAAGCACTAGTCGGAAGCCTTTGAAAAGTTCAAAGAATTCCATAATGAAGTACAAAATCAACTTGATAAGACAATTAAAGCACTACAATCTAATCGTGGTGGTGAATATTTGACTCAAGATTTTGATGATCATCTGAGAGATTGTATAATACTTTCATAATTAACTCCTCCAGGAACACCACAGTTAAATGGTGTGTCAGAAAGGAGGAATCGAATCTTGCTAGACATGGTTCGATCCATGATGCTTTACTGATCTTCACATATCATTCTAAGGATATGCATTAGAAACAACTGCAAAAGTACTAAACAGCAGCCCGTCCAAAGCAGTTGAAAATACTCCATATGAGATGTGGAATGGAAAGGTTCCAAAGTTATCTTTTCTCAAGATTTGGGGTTGTGAAACCTATGTGAAACGTTTACAAGGTGACAAACTAGGCCCTATATTAGACAAATATTTCTTCGTGGGTTATCATAAGGAAATAAGAGGGCATTACTTCTACAATCGCAAAGATAACAAGGTGTTTGTTGCTCGTGATGGTGTCTTTCTAGAAAGGGAATTTATTTCTAAAAAGCCAAGTGGGAGTAAAGTGGTTCTCAAAGAAATTCGAGACGAGCAACAAATAGATGTGGATAACACCCCATCAGAGGCAAGGGCACATGAGTCAACTAGTTTTACAAATCATACGTCAGAGCAAGCTAATTTAACTAGCGAGACTCCTATCGTCCCACTTGAATCTAATTCTTGTGAAAATCTTGAAAGAGTTGAAGAGAATATTTCTACTGTTGCTACTACCCTACGTAGGTCTAGCAGAATCAGAAACAAACAGTTTGTTGATGTTCTGTTAACTGAGGATTCCGATATTTTCCTGTTGGAGAGTGCGGAACCCACAACCAAAAACCAAGCTTTAGCGAGCCCCAACTTAGAGAAATGACTTGAGGCCATGAAATCCGAAATGGACTCCATGTGTGAAAATGATGTGTGGGCCCTAGTAAACTTGCCTAATGGGGTCAACCCCATTGGTTGCAAATAGGTCTACAAGATTAAGACGGATAAAGATGGAAATGCCTACATCTATAAAGCAAGACTAGTTGCAAAAAGGTTTAGACAAATTCATGGTATTGACTATGATGAAACCTTTTCCCCAGTAGCAATGCTTAAGTATATTCGGATTCTTCTAGCGATTACTACATTTTTCGATTATGAAATTTGGCAGATGGATGTCAAAACCACCTTCTTGAACGGGTTCTTGACAGAGGATATATGACACAACCTGTGGTTTTTGAAGATCCAGAAAATCCTAGAAAGGTATGAAAGCTTCAGAAATCCATTTATAGATTGAAGCAAGCATCAAAGAGTTGGAACATTTGTTTTGATGAGGCAATAAAACAGTTTGGTTTCCTCAAGAGCGAAGAAGAACCTTGTATATACAATAAGTCTAGTGGGAGCAGCCTACTTTTCCTAGTCTTTTATGTAGATGACATACTGCTCATGGGGAACGATACACCAATGCTTGAGTCAGTCAAGGAATGGTTAAAGAGTTGTTTCTACATGAAAGAATTGGGTGAGGCCGAGTACGTATTGGTAATTAAGATTTATCGAGACAGGTCTCGAAGAATGATTGGACCTTAGTTAAGAGACTTATATTGATAAGATCCTTGACATGTTCGACATGAAAGACTCTAAGAGAGGATTTCTTCCCATGTCTCATGGTATTACGCTTAGTAAAACTCAGTGCCCTCAAAAGCTAGAAGAGTTAAGGCGTATGGCTAGTGTACCTTATGCCTTTGTAATAGGGTCCATTATGTATGTCATGATATGTACAAGACCATCAAAGGAGCCAAGGTCACACTACAAATCCAAACATGTTGAGAGGAAGTATCACCTCATTCGAGAGATCGTTGGCAGGCGGGATGTCAAGATCTGCAAAGTTCATATGGATGTGAACATCACTGATCCGCTTAATAAACCCATTCCATAACCCATGCATGAGGCTCATACTAGGGCAATTTGATTGCAGCAAGTGATGTAATTTAAGTTGTATTTGTTTTTAGAAAACTCATTACATATGTAATACATTTACTTGTAAAATTATGTTTAAGCAGAGAAATTTATTATTTCTCTGATTTAATTATGTTTTTTGATGTTAAATAAAATGTCAAAAATAATAATGAATCGATGGGATCATCAAATATGTGATTTGGTGATTGAAACCCCACACATGTGAACTAAATCCATATATTATTTAAGTTTTTAGTTCAAAATCATTAAATTGGACATAAATGATTTCAATAAGTGGACTAGCATGTGAGATTGATTGGATGGTACAATTTAATGGGCTATAGGGGCATAGAGATGCTTGGTCAATCACATGGATATGCATAAATGATGCATGATCAAACTATTGACCTACTTTGAAGTTCAAATATAGAGCTTCCGAATATATTAGTGGATTCCTTTGACATGAGTGCAACATTGATTTTATTCAATGATTGATTTAACTGTGGTACATCCAAACGTCATTCCGTAAAGGGGATTATAAAAGGTGTTTCCTGGTTACTTCAAAAGTTGAGTGGGAGCTTTGGTTGCCACAAGATTGGATTGAGTATACCTATTTAATTAGAAATATGTCATGGCCCCTTGAAGAGGGAGAATTCATAGAATGCATGGTCGTGCTCAGATGGATTACATAATAATCATTTGTTTTGTAATTCTAACTTAGTTTTCAAGAAAAGATTTGTAGATTAATATGATCACGACATGAGATGCAATCATACTATCAAATCGACACACATTGACTTAAGGAATTTGAATATTGCACACTTGTCTCAGACAAGTGGGAGATTGAAGGATTTATGTCTTCGTCAAGTGCAATCACTAGATATATCAAGGATCATTATTATGGAGATAATTAGTTCATTCTTTTGGGTCGTCCTTGTCTGTTGCTAGATATGATTAATGATCTTTGGGCTAGTTAAATAGTCCAAAGCCTAATAGAATGGATCCTATGAGGTCTCACACAAGGGTATTGGATTGAATAAGTATGAAGCTCATTAATGGACCTCATGAAGTAATGAGAATCCATGAAAGGAGATAGGCTAGAATAGTTATAATTGGGTTAGTGTTTGGGCTTCACATGGACTTTAATTATATATGTGATATATAAATAGAGGTCTCGCCTAGGTTATGCAGATAAGTCATAATTTACCATACAGTGAATTGTGAAATGAGCAACCAAAACACCCCAACCCTCTCTGTCTCTCTCTCTCTCACGCACGCCCCTCTTTCCTCTCCTCTTTCTTCATACAGTACGGACGGCCGGCCAAGGTGGTTCTTGGTGGTGGTGTGGTGATTCGTGTCTTCTTCGTTCCTCTCCTCTCCGTAGAAGGTTGATTAAAAGGTTTCAATCACAGGTAACTAGCATTAGTAGAGGTTCAATCCTTGCCCGTGGACCAAGTAGAGGAATCACGTTTGGGGTTCTAGTTCTCCTTATTATTCTTGCTTGATCACTCGGGGAATCACGCTACAAAGGTATAATTATGTGTTCTTTATGTGTTATGCAAAGATCTTAATTATTAGATGCTTATGAATACAATTCATGGAATTCCGCTTATAGTATCTAAAGTCCAACAAGATCATATATTGAAGCCCTATCAGCGATCCCGCTTCGAAGAAGGAACGGTCAATGATGTTGAAGGAGAATTCACAGATTGGAGGGAAGATCCTAAACTTCCTCCTAAATTGCATGAATATTGCTTCAATGTTAACCCTACAGGTGTGATTAGGAGTTTTAACAAAATGGGAGACACTGTGCAGTGGCCTAGAAAGAGTGGCAGGCTAGGGGAGAAGAAAGATCCCTCAAGGTGGTGTGTTTTCCATTCAAATATTGGGCACACTATAGACGAATACGCGGCACTCAAAGAGGAAGTCGCTTACCTGCTGAAAAAAGGATAGCTCAAGGAACTCATGACGGACAGGTCCAAAGCTCCAGGCAGAGAAAAAGAATCCAACCCAGGAGGACCACCTCCTCAGCCTCCAATCATCAAAACCATCAATTTTGTCTCTAGAGGATCAGAAGTGTGTGGTTTGACGTACTCAGCAGCAAAGCGTTATGCCAAAGAAAGCAACATGAACAAGCTAACCAAGAAGATACAAGTAAAGCTAGATGTCCCGATTGTGTTTGAAGAAAGAGATGTAGTGGAAGAGCACCATGACGGTCTAGTAATATCACTCCCCGTTGGAAATTGTCTTATCAAAAGAATCCTAGTTGACAATGGAAGTTCTTCCAACAACATCATGCTCGATACAGTGAAGCATATGAACGTAGACGAGAAAGATATCAATAACAAGTCAACAATGCTGGTCGGATTCATTGGAGAAACCAAGAAAACCATCGGGAAAATTACACTGTCCACCTATGCAAAAGGGATCAACCTAAAGGTGAAATTCCTAGTGACTGACACTTTATCATCTTACAATATTATTCTGGGTAGAGCATGGATACATGAGATGAAAGCTATCCCGTCTACTTATCATTAACTCATCAAGTTTCCCACCAAATGGGGAATCCAAGAAATCTAGGGAGAGCTGAAAGAAGCCAAAGAGTGTTATAAAATAGCCTTGAAAGCAACATCTCTAGAGAAAGAGTCAGCATAGCAATCAGAGATTCAGTTAAGCCAAGAAAAGATCAGCATAGAAGAAGAACAAGAAGCAATTGAGTCCGGCTGAATCCGGATCATCCTAATCAAAATGTAAGAATAGGAGCAGAGTCTAGCAAAGACCTAAGTAAGCAGGTCTTAGAGTTCTTAGAAGTAGAAAAGGGTGCCTTTGCATGGACACATGAAGACATGAAAGGAATCTTGCTAGACGTGATCACAACAAACTAAACGTGGACCCAAAACATACACCAGTAAAGTTGAAGAGAAGGAAGTTTGCTCTAGAAAGGAACAAAATAATCAACGAAGAGGTTCACAACCTGCATAAAACTGGAAAAATCAGAGAAGTCAAATACTCAGAATGGCTAGCCAACGTGGTGGTGGTGAGAAAGAAGAACGGAAAATGGAGAATATGCATTGACTTCACAAACATCAATAAGGCCTGCCCAAAAGATCCATTCCCACTCCCTTACATTAATGCCATGGTAGACGCAACAGTAGGGCACAAGTAGTTATCCTTCATGAATGCGTACATCTGGTACATACAACAAAGTCCTTATGCACAAAGTTGACCAAGAAAAGACAACATTTATAACCAGCCAAGGAATCTACTACTACAAAGTAATGCCTTTCGGACTAAAGAACGCCGAAGCAACATATCAAAGGCTAATCAACAAAATGATTGATAAACAAATTGGGAATACAATGGAAGTATACATAGATGACATGGTGGTCAAGTCCAGGAAAGCCACAGATCACGTCAGAGATCTCAAAGAAGCCTTTTCCATCTTGAAGCTGTACACTTGAAGCTGAATCCTACAAAGTGTACATTCGGAGTTCATTCAGGAAAATTCTTAAGTTACATGGTGACACTAGGGAGGAATATAAGCCAGCCCAGAACAAGTCAAGGCCATACTCGACTTAGAATGGCCGAAATCCAAGAAAGATATATAAAGCCTTACTGAAAGGATAGCAGCACTGAACAGGTTCATCTCCAAGTCATTAGACAAGAATAAAGTGTTTTATGACGTGCTGAAGAAGAATAAAGAATTCAAATGGGAACAAGAACATGAAGAAGCATTTAAAAAGCCAAAAGAGTATTTAGCAAATCCTTTGGTGCTTTCCAAACCTAAAGAAGGAGAGCCTTTCTAGCTATCCCTGGCGGTGTCAGAAGGGACAATCAGTGTCGTCTTCACTAGAGGACAAAGAGCAGTTTCCCATCTATAATGTAAGTAAAACCTTACTCATTGCGGAAACCAAGTACGCTTCTTTGGAAAAAATCATTTTAGCCTTAGTCACTGCTTCAATCAAATTATGCCCATATTTTTAAAGTCATGTTATATGTGTGCGTACTTATTACCCTATTAAGGTTATTATGAGAAAACCAGAAATGTCAGGAAGGATGGAGAAGTGGATGAACCATCTTAATCAGTATGACATCTAGTACGACCTTGAACTGCAATCAAATCCCAAGCCCTGGTAGATTTTGTAGTAGACTTCAGTCCAACTCTCGAGCAAGAAGCACAAAAAGAAGTGCTATCCTTACAAGAGCCTAAAGCCACGCAGAAGTGGAAGCTTCACACATATGGTGCGGCAAGGGAATAGTGCTAACATTCCCCAAAGGAGACAAAATCGCTCAAGTAGTAAAGTGCAACTTTAAGGCCACCAACAATGAGGCAGAGTACGAAGAATTAATTATAGGGTTGACCATTGCTAAGGACATGAAAATAAAGAACCTAGAGGTAATTTCTGATTCTCTGGTCATTGTCAATCAAATTAATGGTGAATATGCAGCAAAAGACACAAAAATGATTGCGTATCGAGAGGTGGTGAGAAACCTTATAAAGGAATTCGAAGAACATCGGAAGTACAACTGGTTGATATAGTTCTGGATAGGTTAATGGTTATAATGGAGAGAGCATAAAGTGGTTGAACAATAAGAACATCGGAAGTACAATTGGTTGATATAGTTCTGGCAAGGTTAATGGTAATAATGTTGCTTGTGGTGGCACTGATAAAGTACATGTAATATGGTGATCTAGATATAAGGCATAAAGGGTCTGGTAGCTGGAGCTCTGTTATGGGTAACCAGCATCCTATTTCCCAAGGAATATATGAGAAAGTGGAGAGCAAGGCAATGACTTGGGGATAACTTAAAGATTCATCCTTGCAAAAGAACGATGAAAATGATGGTGGATGGGATTCTCCCAAGTTCAATCAACAGGGAACTAGTGCAAGATGGGATTCCAAAAAAAAGGGAGCAATGTTCAGTCTTGGGGATAGGAAGTTGACCAAACTAGTAATGATAGCAAAGAAGGAAGGTAAACTGGTTACATTGTAATTTGACGTTTTTAGGTGGACAAGAATGACTGGAAAAGCTGTTGGGGATAACAAAGAGCAATGCTAAAGACGAAGTTGACTGGAAATTGGATAAGGCCTATGGAAAAGATCGTTTAGCCAAGTGAGTTTTCCTTAATTGTATTTGTTGTAACTAGTGGTTAATGGGGTTTTGGTTTACTAAAGCATACTGAGGTGTTATTAATGTAGTAAGCATATTGGATTGAGGTTAAACCTAAAAGAACTTGAGATCTAAATAAGAATTTGTGGCTAACCAATAAGTTTATGCAAGGCAAGTGGTTGGAGTGCAGGAAAATCCTGTTGAATTGTAATTCAAATTAGGTGTTTAAAAATCACTTATTAAAGAGTTTAGTGGAGGTGGTAGCTGGTGAGGTTTAAATGTACGAAAATCTTGGGAGTAATTATAATTCGAAAGAATCTTGTAAAGCCTGACCATCCAAGATTAACAATTCCCTAAAAATATTGTGTTAGGAGGTTAAGATAAGGTAGTTAGTGGTGAACTTGAGATCCTAATAAGGATTTCTAGAAGTTTGAAAGTTCATCCAAGGTAAATAATTGTAATATAGTAAAATCTTGGAGCAATTTTAATTCAAAAGAGTCCTAAAAATGGTTTGTTTCAAGGATTATGAAGTTATTAAACCTAGCCTGGAGCTGTTTTTGGATGGTGTTGGGAGTCATAGAAAATACAGTGTTGAGATATTCTGACCTTATCGTCATAAGCACTATAGGTTTATGTTATAATAGATGTAAAGAACAATGTACACAAACATCAAGGGTGAGATGCAATTGTATGCTTTTCAGTTATTATAAATGTAATGATCAGACATGTTTGTATGGGAAAGGTAAGAAATGTCAATTGATATAACTCATGAAAATGGGCCAGCAATAATGTAACAATTCAAAATTTTGTACGACTGTCGCATGTCTACCAAAAATAAACCTAATTCTGACCACCTAAAAATGTAGTAGGGTAAGTTAGGGTCGATCCCACAGAGAATTAGATTATCAAATTATTACTTGTGTGTGTTAGAAACCCCTGTTTTGAACAATGACTATTACGATCTAATATATAAAACTACGAACTTGAAAATAAGCTAAGTACGGAGATGTAAAATTAACAGTAAGAAAAAATATTAAAAATCAAGAATGACGAAATAGGGATCGGGAGATACAATATAGCATTGAAATATTGATTTATCATCGAATTATATAAATCATGTTTTTATCTCAATGTTAGCCGATGAACACAAACAAACATTCAACACTTCCCTTAATTGCAAATAAACCAAACAAGCTCTTGGAGTATTGTCTAACTAACTAACAATCTAGAACAAGCTCTCTTGACTCGACTAATTAGCAGCATTAATAACTAGGAAGTAGCTAACATAAGCCACAAATCACACAAGCTCGGATTTGTGCAACTTAAAGGTCTGAAAATGATAAGCATCAGACAAGCTTCAGTCACCCATCAAACACCTAAGTGCTACTAAGGAATATTAATCCAGACAATTACGTATCACAAATCAATATTCTAGCAATTAAACTAGCAAACTATAAGATGGTCGGCCTAAAATATAACTCAACTAATTCATACCAATACAGCAGATTATCACTCCAATCAAGATATAAACATAATAAGCTTAAATCATAACATTCTTATTCTCACAATACAATAATCCAATGTATACTATATCTCCGTACCCACGACGAATCTAGCCTGACATATGGAAAAGTGAAAGTATAAAAATGGAAGCTATATAAATCATATTGCTTAAAGAAAATAAGGAGATAAATATAAACAAGTAAATGAATCTAATAATACTTTAAACAACTCCTTAATCTGATAATATTGAAATGATGAAAACAAAATTAACTTAGTACCAAATCACCAACTATTGAAATACTGCATGCAAAAATCATAAATTCACAAAGGAATCTAGAGTAATGAATACCAATTTTTCTATAGTGAAAATTGGCGAAACAACCACGAACAACCAGCGCAGAAAACTGAAGCAAAGCCTCTGAATTCCCATAGAAAATGAAGGATAACATAACACAGCTAAGTCACCTCGACTTCTCCGTCCGCTGCTTCGCTTCACCGCTGCTACACTGCTTTACCGCCGCTGCTCTGCTACTTTGTAGTAGCTTCACTAGCCTAGAAAATAGCTTAACCAAGCCTCCTTTGTTGTTCATCGCTCCCCCCCAAGTTTAATGCTACTTCTTTTCTTCTGGTTCCTATCTCAATTTCGCTGCCCAGAAAATCCTAAGCTATCCTCCAAAATAACGCCCAAGATGCCTTAAACATTCTATGGGGACAATTGTATTGTTGTTATCTTTTCCAGCAACATTTCTTAAACATGTTGCCTTAGGTAAAAGAAAAGAAACACTTTAGGTGATTGTTGTCTTTAATGGTCTATAACAACACTTGTTTAATTGTTGCACAGGGATATAGTATTATTATTTTGGTTCGTAGTGACATTTAGAAATCGTTGCCTAGCTTATCAAGGGTAATAGTTTTTTAAGTGT